TTTTACCAGAAGAAAAAGTTCGAGTAAAATCTTGTAACTTCATTCTCTACACAACTCTCCAAAAGTCGCTTCCATTTACAGGATTTTGGAGTACGGGAACATTTTTCCTGCAACTTCTTGCAAGTTCGTGTAAAATCCTGTAAGCTCATGGAGTACTGGATCAGAGCTATTATCTAAACGCTTTGCCGATTGCGACATGCATTTTTTGTCCGCCGCCTCGTTTCCATCAGTTTGTATGAGTTTGAAATAAAAGAAGAGTAAGAACCTTATCTGTTGCCAGAAAATTTGAAACATATCTAATCTGGCCATAACCACAGTCGTACATACAGTGCTGAACACACACGGGCCACAGCTTCCAATTTGTTATCATGAACTTGTATGAGTTTGACATAAATCAAGAGGAAGAACGCTCTCTGTCGCTGAAAATATAGAAACAAATCTAATCCGGCCACAAGCACAGTTGTCGCGTAGCCCTGTCGTCACCAAAATAATTACCTACATAAGAATACTTGGAAAAATAAATTGTCAGCAGTGGTCCATCGCTCATGGTGTTAAAACAATTTAACATCGTGGTCCGTAGCCCGTCTTTTTCAATGTGTTTCAAGCTTTGCTTTTACACTACAGACAACCCAATAACGCTCCACTTATTGGCTCAATTCACTACTCTCGAAAGTCATAGAACGGCAACGCTGTTGATTTTAGTCAATTCGGCATTTCTTTCCGTTTCCTATACGTTGTCAAATCTGTCAGTTTGAGTAAAAGCTTCCCGAATTTTAACCGCCTTTTTAGTGCGTGCGATAGAAAAATACTTAAATTACAAGTTTTATGAAAATAAATCAATACAAAATTATGTAAAATATTTGTATGCGACTTTGTGTGTTAATTAACATGTGTAACGTGGTATGTGCGGTGGTAGTGATTTATACTTGTGTAGATGTGAGTAATGCAATCTGAGCCAGTCGGCCAACTTCTTCGCTGAATTTCTCAAATATTAATAACTTCGCCGATAAAGTAAATTTAATGGTGAGTCCGTTTGCATCAATTCCAATAAAAATGTTTAGTAATAATTAAATTTCAACATGGAAGCGCTAGTCGGCCTCCAATTACTTGCACAGGCCTGACCTGTGGGAGCTGTCAATACACACATATTTATATACATAAATTTTTTCCTTACACCAACAAAAATTCCTGCTCACTTTCTACATTTCCGGTGCACTTAAGTATACCGGAACTTGAATTCAGCCTTCATACTAAGCTGCACGCAACCATAACCTAATTTTTTGATAAAACTCAGTATTGTAATTTAAAATGTTTTTATTTTTAAATTTCTTTACAAATTACAAAAGTACTTACTAAAATGATTGGTGTTATCAAGAGCCGAAAAATCATAAAAGTTCTTGAAATTGCGAACCAGTTGAAAATATTTTTTTACAAAATCTCTTAAAAATTCTAAGAGTATTTCTCAGTTAAAGTGCTACTTAAATGAACTGAAGGCGCTCGGCTGAAAGTGATCACCGTGGTAGGTTGTATGGAAATCAGAGAAGGCATCACGGAACTGATGGTTGCGCTTAACAGGACTAGCATGATTGAAGCCGAAGGAAGTGCTGCCGAATCCCAAGCCGCCACTCCCGGTCCCAGTGCCGAAAGAACTGAAGCGTTGTGCAGACGGCGAATCGGAGCCATAGTACGATGGTGAATCGTAAGCTGGCGGTGACGGCGCCTTCGGATAAGGGCGACGGCCAAATGAAGGTACACGCGGCGATAGCTCCCCGGTTGGTGGCGCGCTAATATCGAAACTGGGAATTTCATTATCTCCTCCGTCGGCAGTATCATCCCCATCAATTGCATCGTCGCCTTCCTCAGCTCCGTTGGCGGTATCAGCGCCATCTTGCCCCCCATTGTTGTTATCGTCCTGTTGCTGAAAGTCTGCTTCTTCTGGTGCGGGTTCGGGTGGTTCGGCTGCATCATTGTTGTTATCATTGAAGGAGGTATCTGCAAAGTGAGCTATTGAAGCCAGTCTTATGACATTTAATTAGAAGTTGGCGTATTTTACCGTCTCGCTGTGCGTACTGATACAGCACTCGGGCGCGCTGTGGTTGTTGTGGTGGCGGTGCTGGAGCCGCTGGAGGTGCTGTTGGACGACGCCTAACTGGTGGCAGCGTAGGAGGCTGTGTTGGCGCTAGCGCTGGAGGTGCTGGCCTTTGACGATTTCGACCCGTCTTGCGCGGTGCGGATGGCCGAGGAGGCGGCGGTTGCGGCTGAGGAGCAGGCGCATCTTCGAAATCGTATACAGAAGGTTCAGCGCGCGGACCACCACGCTCTGCAAAGCCATCAAACCCAGACGGATAATAGTATTCGAAATCGTAGCCATGCGTTGGGCGTAGTTTCGGCCGCGGACGCGGACGTCGCGGTGGAGGTGGTGGCGGCGCTGTCGTAGGAGCCTCTGTTGTAGTAGTGGTTGTTGTAGTTGTAGAGCGTGGTGGCGGTGGCGTAAATAAATTGGACGAACTGGCAAATAAGGCAAACTTGTTGAAAAACGGATTGAGTGGCGGTGGTGGTGGTGGCGGCGGTCTTGGAGGCGGAGTGGTAGTTGTAGGCCTTGGACGCCTAGTTGTAGGTGGCGGAGGCGGTGGTGCACGTTGCGCCGCGGCAATATTGCGCGTAGCGTTCGCCTTCATATCGCTTGCTGTGGCGCTGTTAAGCAACAGATTGCGCAGCAGCCAGCCAACATCCAAGCTACGGCGATCACGCGCCTGCAGTTCAAGATCCGCGCCGTACTCCTGCGCATTGGCATAACTGCTGCAAGTGGCGAGAAGCGCGACGCCGAGAAGGATTTGTGTTCTACACATTGCGTTCAAATGGAAACACTTCAACCGAAGCGTAAGCAGCAGGTCTTCGTGCGCTGCTGATTTGCGCGTACTTTAATTCGAAAACAATTCAATTTATAAAATTGCGCTGTGTGCCTAAGCGCATCCGCGTTTCAATTTCTTTTAACTAAGCGTTTTTCGGGAGCATACAACCGTTTGTTGCCGCATGCAACAAAGAACTGTGCGCTGTATCGTTTGCGATTTTCAGCAAAAGGTTGCCGTTACTGCAGCTCTGGCCAGTAGATGCTGCGCGGCTAATTAGTGAGGCTAGCGTGCTGCAACTCGTCTAACGAGTTCTCAACACAATCGGCTATTATATCATATAGACGCGCACGAATATCAGCCAAAGCTTAGGCCAATGCGGCGACAGGCCGTAAAACTGCTCTGGCTGCTGCGCCGCTACTGCTGACATAGAAGTGACCGTTGCTGCTAGACAGCTTCGTCATTTGCATTTTCCTGCATTTTTTTT